TAGCGCCTGACATGTGGTAGATATTCAATAAATGTTACATAAATGAATAAATGTCTCAATCTTTACCCAAATTGAGAATAATGTTAAAGAGATTTGAGTGGCCCAATAAGAAAATTACTTTGACTAATTCAAGACCACCCTTAACTTTGGAACTGTGCTAATTTGAACACTAGTAACTTCAACTTAAATGTTTGTCACTTACCCAAAGCGCCTGTTCTTACAGAAATGTTATAATTTCCAAATTATATTTTCTCCTTAGCTATTTTATATTGATGACTCCATTTTTTAAGAAGGTATTGGGAATCACCTGCAGATATTTAGGAAGCTTGTTAACCTTATCAACAATCTGTTAACATCTCTCCTTCAATGGAAATTAGCTCATAGGATGGTTTCCTCAAATCATGTGTATGTATAAAAGTTTCTGTCATTATATTCAAGTAAATATTTATTCTAGAGAATATGGCCTATTTAAGTCTTCTAGCTCAATATGTACTTAAGATAATTGTAAATTCTTTGGTGCACGAAGGCAAAGAGAAACTAAAATTTTAAGTCCAGGAAAAAAATACAGGAAACATATTCTGGATACTCAAGAAGGCATTTTACTCAGACAATTAATGGATGTGTGCATACATTCCTTCTTCCTCTCTCCCTCCACCCCCTGTCTCATACACACACATACACACACACACACACACACACACACACACACACACACACACACACACACACACACACACATCCTTACATTATGACTTTATATGTCAAAAGTAAAAATAAAGGAAGTTGAGAAGAAAAAACTGAGAAAACATAGGAAAATAATATGTTAACCTAGAATAGGCATTGATGTATAAAGCAGCAACGAGAGGAATTATATTTTACTATTGTGCTTTTTGGCTGACTCAAAAACCATTCTAGTTGTATTTAAACTATTTTATAAACAATCAGAAAAATCCACATGAAATCATAAACTTTTAAAATAATACATATTCGGTTTCATTAATAAATATATGCTTCTTTGTGTTTATTTGTAGGAAAAGAAAATATTTTAATTTTTACAAGGAATGCATGTTTTTCATTTTTAAATTTCATTGCTGTGAAATGTACAATTTCAAAAGAGTAGTTTCATTGATACTGAATTTCAATTTAATACTTGATATTATTTGCAAATATTATTAATTTAAAATATCTAAAAGTTATACAACGTTAAGTACCCATATATAATACATTTATTTTTAAACAAAAATCATTTTCTATACAGTTGCTGATAGAAATTGAAACATAAGCTTTTCCAACAAAACTATAAGCATTCATTTGATTTATGTGATAACTGTGAAAATAATTTGAGTTTTTGCCTCATTGATCGATTAATATATCAATAAAATGAATGAATAATATCTCGGCCTTTATTGAATAGACACTGGTTACTATCACTACTATATGTTAGACATAGAATTTTCATCTTGTGTGTGTGTGAGAGAGAAAGAAAAAGAGAAGCACATGCGAAAGATCAGGAAAGAAATATATCTCCTTTTCTTTTTCTTTGGAAAGTCTCTTGCTTGCTCTCTCTCTCTCTCTATATATATATATATTATATATTATATAAACTCTCTCTCTCTCTCTCTCTCTCTATATATATATATATATATATATATAAAATAGTGTAATTCTTAGAAAGTCATTCTTTTTTTGGAGTGGGAGTCTCACTCTCTCACCCAGACTGGAGTGCAGTGGCCGCTCCCGGCCACCACAGCCTCGACCTGCTGGGCTCTGGCGATCCTTCCGTCTCTGCCTTCCAAGTAGCTGGAACTACAGGCGCGTGCTACCACGCCCGGTTAATTTTTGATTTATTGTAGATATGAGGTCTCGCCAAGTTTCCCAGGCAGGTCTCGAACCTTTGGGCTCAGGCAATCCACTCACTTCAGCCTCCCAAAGCGCGGGATTATAGGATGAGCCACCGAGCCCGGCTACAAAGTTATTCTTATGAGAACAAAATTTGGCTCACTTTTCTTGCTTCTATACTTAATGCTCAGGTGAACTTGGACAAATTATATGACATTACGGGCCTTTGATTATTATTCTCTAAAACAGCGATGATGATCTAAAAATCCCCACTCACTTTCCAGGACTACAGTGGGGATTCCATGAGATCTAAACTGTGACTTAGGTTCTGACCTGTGTGAATTAATAGCTGGTGACCTTATGCTTCCTGTATTTGTCTAAGCCTTGATATCCATAACATCACCCGCTCCTGGTTCTCCTCCTATTTCTTACTCATGGATACTAAAACAGAACATGGACAACTCTCATAATCTGTTTCTATTGCCCTTTCAGCTTCATCTCTCAGCTCTGTATGGCCAGAATCTATCAAACCAAAACATCAAAAATATCATCAAAGTATGAGTTTGTTTTAGTTGTCATACCTCATGCTCTATTTTACCACTATAATACTCGTTGCTTACATCATCATCCCTCACATAGATATGTAAAAACTTTATCCTTCAAATTTTGAGGAATTTAGAAAAGAGGCAAGAAGGGTCTACAATCTCTGAGCCAAGGGCCCATGGATGTGGAGGGGACTATCATTAGTGGCAGCAGGCTACTACCATAAAATACTTATTCCTGTTATTATTCACAGGTCTATGGCTGGTTGAGCCAATACAAATGTAACAAAGTCTAAATTTTTATTTTTAAAAATAAAAAGCCAAGTATGCTAGGCCAAAAGAGAAGTTATAGTGTAAAAAAAAAAAATCTCACGAAGAAAAAAAAGCAAAAAACGAAGAAATCAGTGTTTTATTATTAATTGAGCCCACGGGCTTCAATATGGACAAACCAGATGCAAACAGAGGCTTCAACTTTGGGCAAACATCCTACTACAATGACCTCCATCAGGGAATAGCCCCTTGCTTACCCAAAATCTTAGACAGAGGACTCACATGGATTGTTTACAGTAAATATAAGCTAATAGATTAAGAACAATAAATGAGTCTAATTTATTTCATAGAAATTCTGAAGTGAAAGAGAATCTTGAGGAATTTCTTGCTGGAAGATCTCGTTTATCTAAATGAGACCAGAAGTGGAATATGGAAAGAAAGGTGAGGGAAGCCTTGGAGAGTGGGGAATAGGAGGATGTAATCGTATTTGCTATGGGAGACTAGATAAGGAGTTAACGAGACACCAGTAAAAGGATTTGCTGGTATTGTGGTTCCAAGGAATGCCCTTGGTCTTGGTTCCTTGTTTATTTCGGTACATGGAAAATCTTTTGTTGCCCATCTATGACTTGCAGTTTTGAACTTAGTTCCAAAAGCTCTACTTTATCCCAAAGCTGCTGATGATTGAAATGGAGTGTTGTGGAATGTGAAGTATTAAGAAGATATTCAGAAAAAGGGTGAGGAATGCCAGGTGAGAACAAACAACTCTTGAGATTGAAAGGAAACACTCAACAACAACAACAAAGAATTATCAAATGCATCATCCTACTCTCTCCAGAGAATATTTTCAAGTCTTCTTATCATTCTGTTTCATTACCAGACCTCAACATAGTGGCACAGTAAAATCTGTTTTATTGCCTCTCTTAGATGCAACTATACTCTTACTCTCAAAGCCCATCTAGTCCACGTAGTATTTAGTGAAACTATTTCTTTCCTTATTCTGTTAATGTGATCTGAGCCTGCATTTGCTTTAAGTCACTCATAAATAAGATATTCATGATTTTTATTGGTGAGCTCCAAGGTATGAACCATGTAGTGCTTTGGAATTTGTTGAATGGAATGAAATACAATTTAAACTTTTATGAACAAGGTCTGTAAGTTACCAAAAGCCTTCCAAGACATTATCAGGACAGAAACATGAAGTTTAGTGCTTGAAAACAGCCTAAAATACTCAGTGATCTCTCACAGAAACAAAGAACTGAGTACCACACTTTCTCACTCATAAGCAGACCCTCAACAATTATCATAGTATTAAAAGGAAGGGACTGTCAGTAGTAGGAAACTGGAGGGACACACTTCATCAATAAGGGTACCTGATCTCAAATCAAGTGAAGTAGGGACCAAATGAGGCCCAATCTTTACCTGTACAATGACCATGTGTATACCTATCCTTGAATTGTACCCCGTATCTTTAGGATGAAAATTTTTGAAAAAGGAAAAGAAAACAGCCTAAGCAATGCCACTAAATTTTTGCACTGTGTTCGGGATATGGCCACACTTGGCCTTTAACACAACATTCTTACACTATCTGTCTCTTTTCTCTTTCTTCTAATTCCAAACATATATATATATAAATCAATGTTTTGAATTATGAATATACAAAATAACAAGGATACTACTAAAAGTTAAATGAGCACAATAAAGAACACACACTGACACTAATCTTTAGTGTACAACTCACTCTGCTACTTCTTATTATCAACCTTTTTAGCAAAATTTAGAGCTCTACACTTCAGTCTTTTGTCATTTAGTTAGTCAAATCATTGCAAGGTATAATGTGAAAGTGATATTTCTGATCCTACAAGGTAAGGCATCCAAAAACATGATTTCACCAACGTGTACTTGAATTCCTTTGACCTTGTTAAACCAATATGTTAAAAAGTGATATCATTGGAAATTCATTATGCTGGTTTCTCACTTTCAGTTAATACTTATTTAGCATTTTCTCTGTATCAGTTATTCAATATTATTAACTCATTGAATGTATCATGATGACAGATGGCACCTGTTTTGATATTATCTCCCTTTTGCAGATGAGGAAATGGAGAGGCTCAGAAGTAATGTTAACAAAATCAGGATTTGATCCTAGGAAGCCCAACTTCAGAGTGTATGCAGGCAACCACTCCTATTCTGTGTCTGTTGAGAGCAAACTAGTATTTTGAACTTCTAAAAAAACTATGCCCAAAGTCGTTAAATTAAATGTCTTTCCTTTTGACGTTTTACAATGATGTAGAATATAAACCTATTATTCTTCAATCTCAGATACAAAATAATCTAAATTAAATATCTTACCAGTTATCTCTGTCATCACAGAACAGAAGATTGGTGAAAAATGACACAGGTTTAGATGATTTGAAACTGAGGTGGCAGGTGAGCTCATCATTAATTCCACTCTGAGAGCCTGTGATGATTCTGCCTTTTGGAAATGTAGCAGAAAGAGGATGAATCTCATCATCACTGTCAAGAAGTCTTGCTGCAGGAATCTGGATATGTAGCGTTGAACTACTATGTTAAAAAGAAAAAAAGAGCTCAAAATACCTGCAAGTAATTGAATTTAAATGTATATTTCTTTGTTTTTTGAATCACCAGAAAAATTAAAACAAATAGTTATAGTAATACGACCAATTGTTAAAGATGTCTGTATCATCTCTTAGTTTCTAGTCACAATGAAAGAATAATAACATATTAATTTAACCAAGGACCACTTGAGATGATCAAATATACCTTTTGTTCAGTACAGATGAATAAAAGGGGTATAATACTCATAAAATAGTAACTTTTAACCACAACCATGGTATAAATATTGTTTTAAAATATATTCTGACAAAAAATTACCAAAATGTATCTTTTTTTTTTTTTTTTTTTGAGTTGGAGTCTCACTCCGTCGCCCAGACTGGAGTGCAGTGGCCGCTCCCGGCCACCGCAGCCTCGACCTGCCGGGCTCCGGCGATCCTTCCGCCTCAGCCTTCCGAGTAGCCAGAATTACAGGCATGCACTACCACGCCCGGCTGATTTTTTGATTTATTGTAGAGATGAGGTCTCGCTGCCCAGGCGGGTCTCGAACCCGTGGGCTCAGGCAATCCACTCACCTCAGCCTCCCAAAGGCGCGGGATTACAGGCTGAGCCACTGAGCCCGGCCATAATTTATCATTTTAAAAGCTACAAATTTAATGCATGTAGACTAAATAATTTTAACAAATGCTATATATGTAGATTTTCTTAAAAATTGAATACTATTAAGCACTTGTATGTCATGAATATTTTTTCAATTATTACTATTCAAAAATTCCTCCTAATGTTCACATATTTCATTAAATATCTATAATTAATAAGGTATGTAGTATTCACTTTAAAACTGAATCACTACCTATAATATTTAGCAATCAATAAATACTTAATCATATTACTTTGTTTTATTTTATTACATATGTAGGAACCTATAGGAAATAAACGTTATCAACTGAGAAACGTATTTCTATAGTATTTTAATCAGTGTGAAGACAGATTATTTAACTAATTAATGTAAAAATTAAAGGCAGATCTCAATTCAGATTAGTTAAACCTATATGGTACATTGAATGAAAACATGAGTAATTTATATATCCAATTTGAAAATGATTCTGTTGCTAATTAGCTAAGTGTCAATGGGCGTCATTAATGTTGTTGATTTTATTGTGTATGTATAACAAAGAAGCTGAGTTACATTATCTTTCAGTCTTTTTCTTATTCATTCCATTATACCATATTTTGTAAGACTCAGATTTGAATGGTAGTACTTTTAAAATTAATACTTTTAAACATTAATTCAAAGTTGAAAGATTAAAAGATTAACTCATCTATTAGAAAATGTTTCTTAGCGAGGCATAAAGGATCATGCCTTTAATCCCAGCACTTTGGGAGGGTGAGGCAGGAAGATGGCTTGAGCCTAGAATTTCTAGACCAGCCCAGGTAACGTAGCGAGATTCCATCTCTACAAAAAAAAAAAAAAAAAAAAAAAAGAATGAAAATTTTAAAAATTAGCCGGGAACAGTAGCACATGCTTATAGTCCCAGTTACTCAGACGCTGAGGAGGAAGATGCCCTTGAACCCAGGAGTTAAAGGCTGCAGTTAGCTGTGGTCATGCCATCGGACTCCATCCTGGGCAACAATGAGACTCTGCCACACACAAAAAAGAAAAAAATAAAAAGAAAAAAAAGTTTCTTTTATTAAAAAATACTTTCTAGCACAATGTATTTTAAGCCACTAATGTTTCCTGTTTAAGTGACAAAGGTTAGTGTCTACTTATAAAATAGGGTGTTAAAAGAACTGCAAATCCTAAATTACGCTAATGCTGAAGAACTACACTTCCTTAACAAACTGAATGACTTTTAGAGCAAGTCTCTTGGTATCAGTAAGCACCCATCTTGCACACCAAATGTTAGAAACTAAAGGTTGTACTGTGCTTTTCAACTTGTATAAGTTAATTTATTTTCAACCATTAGGCCACACTTAGGATTTGTGTTCTCTGAATCTCAGAGTGCTAACTCAAAAAAAAAAAAAAAAAATTGAATGAGAAAAGCTCTGAAGTGAATACAAGATTTAATCATCTATGAAATTAATGCTTATAGGCAATTCACATTGGTACACAAATTCTCACAATTTTTGTAATTTTAACATATCAGCTAGATACTCCTTATTTTTACTTTTTTAAAAATTTTTTTATTTTTTTTTGAGTTGGAGTCTCTGTCGTCCAGACTGGAGTGCAGTGGCCTCTCCCGGCCACCGCAGCCTCGACCTGCTGGGCTCCGGCGATCCTTCCGCCTCAGCCTTCCGAGTAGCCAGAATTACAGGCATGCGCTACCACGCCCGGCTGATTTTTTGATTTATTGTAGAGATGAGGTCTCGCTGCCCAGGCGGGTCTCGAACCCATGGGCTCAGGCAATCCACTCACCTCAACCTCCCAAAGGCGTGGGATTACAGGCTGAGCCACCGAGCCCGGCTATTTTTATTTCTTAATATCTATAGACAGATAGTTCTAAATAAAACTATGACTCATTTTTTGTTGTTTTTGTTTTATATGAAGAATATCAAATATATAGTCTTTCTTGACTTTTACAAATTTTAACTAAAAAAAAAGAAAATTTATCTCAACATTTCGTTCCTAATATTCCCTAACTCCGTTATCTTATTAGCTGAAATTCATCCACTTATTAACTATGGAATATTGATGGACACTTATATTGTAAATTATGTATCCCTTCACCTCTCACAGGAAGTTTGCACAGTTTCCAGATTTAGATATTCTGAAAACTACTATGAATAATCTTGAACAGACTTTATAATATACATGTGCAAGAGTTTTTCTAGGATATATTGCAAAGTGAAATTGTTGGGCTGTGAGCTATGAAAACGTTACACCTTGCACAGTATTATCCAATGTGGTCATATTTATTGACACTATGACTATTTACCCAAATTCTTAATTTTTCTCTAACTAGCACAGGCAAATACTCTCCTATTACAGTCTCTAAGTATTATTTCCAAGTTTGAAAGAAGGTAAATTCTATGTTTTACTATGTTAATTTTTCATTTACAAATCTCTGTCTGCATAATACTTAGTGAAGCTTTGTTCACATTTCTATTGAAATATTTGATATTTTTCTTAATAAGTTTTATTAGTTGTTTATTTTACTGTTAGCCACTTTATTGTTAGCATGATTTTATGTTTAAGAAATCCTTTCCTACCCACAGAAATTTAAAATGTTTTCTATATTTCTTTTTCACATTTTTCTTTTTCATATTCAAGTCTTTAACACATTTGTAATGAATTCTTGTGCATTGTGTGAGGGAGAAGTCCAATCTGAAATATCCTATGCATATATTCATTTGTTCCAGCACCATTTATTGAATAGTAACCTTCTTTCTCTAAGAAACTGCAATACACCTTCATCACATATACAGTATCTATTCGTGTATGGGCCATTTTCAAGACTTTCTATTCTATTCCTTGGACATTTTATCTACTCCATACCACTATCACATCGGTTTTGTCTTAATATTTGATATGGCAAGCCCGTCCCACCTGATTCTTCTTCCTCATGGGGCTTGGTTATATTCCCTGAAAAACCTTGGTTAAATTTTTATTGAAGTTACACGAAATATGCAAATTGATTTGTGGAGAACTTTTCTACAACATTGAATATTCCAATCCATGAATACAGTATAAATCTTTATTTATATATGAATTATTTAATTTAAGTTTTATATTTTTCTGTATATAATTCCATAGATTTTGTCTATATTTTTGCTTGGCTTATTCCTATTATCTTTTTTGATGTTATTATAAATAGTAATTTTAATGTTGTATGCTAAAATTTTTATTCAATCTTAAATACTCCATTTATATTTGTCTATTTTGATAAGTGATCTTGAAAGTTTTAAGAATCTGCCTAGAGATTCTTTGAGTATCCTCTATGGAAGTATCATCTAATTTACAGATGACAGTTTGAGTTATATTTTCCATTTTCTAACCCTTGCACATTTTATTTTTCTTATTGCCCTGCATATGTTAGGTTCTCCAATAAAATGCTTTAGAGAGGAAGTGATACTAAGCATCTTTGACTTTTATTTGAAGATAATTCATTTATGTTCCAGTATCAATAGTGATGCTTACTCTAGGTTTATGATAGGAATGTTTAACAAATTAAAGAATATTTTATTCCTGATCACTGAGTTTTCTTATTAATGATTTTGAAATTTTGACAAATGCCTTTATTCTGGATCTATGAATAATATTATATAATTATTCTCTTTAATTTGTGAACAAGGTATGTAAAATACAATGGCATTTTAGATTTTCTGATGTTATGCAGGTCGTGCAATATTGGTTTAAAAGCAAGTTGTCTATGATCTATTACCTTATATATACATTATTTGATTCATTAAGAACTATTGCATGTATGTTTAAAACACAGTTTGGCCTATAACTTACCATTCTTGTACTGTCATTGCCAGATTTTGTAATTTTCTGAGGTCATAGAGTAAATTAGGGCAAATTTTCTCTTATTCTATAGATTAATGTGTCTGTTTCCTGAGAGTTTAGTAAAATTTGCTTGTAAAATCTTCAGATGATGTTTTCTTGTGAGAAGATTTTAAATATTGACACAAGGGCTTTTTATGTATTCCCAGTAGAGTTTTAGTAAATTATATTTTTGCACATTTCCATTTCATTTAAATTTTCATTTGTATTGAAATAGATTTCAACATAACATTTTGATTATCTCATTTTTCTTCATTGGATTTATGGTTCTGCCCCCTTAATATTATTTAATTGTCCCCTCTCTGTTCTGTTCCTTGTCAACTTTACTGTATTAGTGTCTATTTTACTAGTCTTTCAAAGAAGTTATTTTTAGTTTCACTGAGCCTCTCTTTTATGTTTTTAAAATTTCTTTAATTTCCGTTGTTTATCATTTTATCTTAGCTTCTACACTCTATGTGTTTAGTCTATTAGTCTTATTTTTACTTAAGATGAGTAAAATAAGTTGAATGTTTGAAATTTTCATTTTTCTTTTCTAATGTCAGCATTTAATGTTATATATTTCCATGTAAGTGCAATTTTTACTGAACTTCATCAAGATTTTTTTTCCTTAATCACTAACATTTTCATGTTTATGTACTATAACAGATACAGTTAACAACGGAGCAAGCCTAATTGCTTGACTAAAGAAAGAGAAGTCCCAGTAGCGGTTTCAAATTTAGTTCTCAGCTCTGATAGCCATATGGTGTATGATATGATATGATAGTATTTGATTGTATTATACACTCATGACTCCCAATGTTGTTTTCATAATATGGTATATTGTATTTCAAATATTATTTGATTTGTAAAATCCAATATGATTTTTTATTTGACTCTACAGAAGTTTGTTTTAACATTTCCTAACTCTTGGAGAATCTTGTTATATTTTCTTCATTCTCCTTGAATTGATCATATTATCTTTGAACATAGTCTATTCTTTATAATTTTTTGAGACTTGCAAACTATAATTACAGAATTCTCCACCGTCAATTTTTGTAAATATTTCATGATTGAGTAAGAAAAACGTACATTCGCTTGTCAGAAGCAATGTTTTTTACACATGTGAAATGAATAACGTTTTTTAAAAATATTATTCAAATATTTTGTCTTTTGAATCCATCAATAGTTAAAATATGTATTTTAATATTTTACAGTTATGGAGAATTAGTCAATTTTTTTCAGTTATTTCAATTTGGGATTTACATATTTTAAGATTATTTTAACTGTGCATATGATTTTAGAATTCTGATAACTTCCAAGTGAATTGCAACTTCCATGATTATTTAATGACTTTTATATCTTAAAAACATAACTTACCTATTAGAGGTTATTGCATGTGAAGTTAATTCTGCCATCAAGCTTTATTTTGGTTATGCTGTTATATCTTTTTCCATCATTTTACTTTGGTGATTCTCAACTGAGAGTGGTTTTGCTCCCCAGGAGACAGGTAGCAATGTATGGGAATTTTTTTTTTTTTTGTCATAACATGGGGAGTGAGGCAGTGCTATTGGGATACTGCTGAACATTCTACAATGAACAGAATAGTCTTCCACACACAAAAAAATTATCCTCCTTAAAATGACAATAGTTCTGAAGTTGAAAAACTGACTTCTCTGACTTTCCTTGCCTTACGCTTCATACATACATAATTTTTTTTCTTATGCTTCATACCTACATCGTCTAATAGGCAGTTGAATTTTCTTCTCATTAACGCTGATATCTCTGTTTTTTAACTAGTCAGAGTATTATTTAGAGTTGTTCCAATCATTTTTCTTTTAGTTGACTCTTGCTTTTTTTTACCATGCTTCTCTTTTTCACTCTTTCATTTAAAAGTTAACTGAGGGTTTGTTTGTTTCTGTACTGCTTGGGTAGTTATATACACTCATAATTTTAATGAACACCTTCAAAATTTTTCCCTACATACTATTGTAAAGTTTTAAAAATTGTATTTGATTTGTTTTCAAATTTATTATTGTATAATCTCATGTTAATTACTAACTTTTATAATGTCCCTTTTTACTGTTTAAATTCAAGTTATTAATATTTACATTCTGTGTCAGATAATTTTAATGTCTGAATTACTTAGGGCTCTAAACCCACGATGATTGCCTGTGCTGACTCTTAAGTTATGATGTCTTCTATATTGAGGATTTGGGATTTTTATAAATGTAAAGAAATGAAAATAGATTGCATTCCACTACAGTGTCTGGATGTAAAAGGCAGAATTCTGAGATGGCCCCTTAGTGTACAAACTGTGTACAAACTGTATAATTCCCACACCTTGAGTGTGTATGGGACCTGTGAATGTGAAGAAATATACCCTTCTTGCTTAGCTTACATTATACAGCAATGGTAAATGAACTCTTCAGATTAATTAAGGTTCCTAATTAATTAGCTTTTTAATAAAGAAAAAGGGAAATAATCATGGGTGGGTCTGACTTAATTGGGTGAAATCATAAAAGAAAGTTTGGAGGTCAGAAACAGACACGTCTGATATATGGTATACTATGACCTTGAATGAGTTAGATACCATGTTGTGAAGATGTGACACATAGTTAGGACTAGAGGGTGGACTCTAAAAGCTGAGAATGTCCCAAGGCAAAAAATGATGCTATAGCCCTATAACGACAAGAAAATTGTCATTAAACATACAACTATTCATACAATAAAAATTGCTAACAACCCAAGAATTTGGAGGAAGACAGCCTCACACAGGACTGCCACTCCAGCTAACACCTTAATTTCTGCCTGTTGAGGCACTGAGGACATAGCTAAGCCAACTGGAACTGCTGAACTCAGAAACTGTGAGATAAAAAAACTAATACATTGAAGTTTTAAGAGTGCTTCTTGAACCATGGAGAGAGATACGTCAAAAAATTTACAGAAAATTCAATGACTAACTGCAAGATAACTAAGGTGGTTATTTTTGGGGGGGAATTTTTAAATTTTAATGTACAGCTAAATATTTTAATAGTTCTTTCCAACTATAGAAACATGTCAGACATTATGTATAACTCTTATATAACACAGGCACAAACAAAAAAGCACACAAAGAAGATGTGGTAAATTCACATTAAGTAGTTACCTAAAATAGTTTTGAGGTAAAATGTTGATATCCATCATAGTTGTTGTATCCAAAGGAACAGGAGTGAAAAATATAAATGGAGGGTCAAACAATAACTTGGGTGATTTCACCTCTCCCGTCAGACATAATGTTCGATAGCAAACCGGATTATCATTTAAAAGTATAGGAACTTTAACTGTGTATTTTCGAATATGATCTAATGTAGAGTTTCAAAAAGAAAGTATTTTAGATTAATTCACACACACAAACATTTGCATAGTTTAAACCTCACTAAATATTAAAATGTATTATGATGTTACAGCTTAACAGGGTTGAATAGATTACACAGAAGTTAGATTTAGCTTGCAGAACAACTTAAGACATGTAACGAGGTGCTGTTAAAAGAAAAATATTTTGAAGTCCAACTTGTCCAGAAATGGAACAAACATGCTTAAAGTAGATTTTCATTATTTTGGGAAAATGAATATACCTCAGGAAAGCAGTGTAACAGGACATTTTTTGCTGTTTTCTGTGTTGTAATAAAAGCTGTCCATCACTTGTATATTTAAAACATTACATATCTATAGGGAAACAGTAATTTTATTTGATAAATTTCATGTTGAAATTACTTTGGGGAGAAAACAAACTAATTTCAGAATTAGGCAAGGTTTTGCAATATTGATTTTGAAAGGGCTACTTTGAGATTATTTCTGTGTTTCAGATATCTTAAAGGTTTCTGGGGCCATGGAGAAAGGGGTTCCTTGTGTAACTTAAGACTATTAGGGATTTGATAATAATTCCCTTTTTTTAAGCTGAGGGATTTCTTCTCTCTCCTCTGAGATGTAAGTTATATAATTTTTAATTTATAATGTTTAATTCTTGAGTTAGGCCGGGAACAGAAAGAGGGAATCCGTAGATTTGACTGCTAGGCCTTAGCTTCACACTGAAGAAAAAAGTCAAGTAGAAGTGTTTCTGACTTCCTTCTACATTATCCAGTCCATTTCATATGAGTAGAAATGTTGACAGGGGCATAAAGAAGAAATTCTGAACAGAAGTACAGAGGACGGCTTTAACTGTACTAGTCTTTGTACTATTTCTTTTAAAACCAGTAGAAAATGAGGAAAAACTACATAAATACATAAAGACACCTAATTATTTTTGCAAAACAAATTTTAGAATGTATAGAATAGTTGATATTTTCTAGCATATTTTCAGGGATTTAAACAAAGGAAATACAAATATTAAACACTTTACATCTATTATCACAATATGTTATTTACATTGTGCATATCTATTTCTCACACATAAAACTAAAGTGACTAGACAATGTCATGCTAATATATATATAGCAAAGCATCAGGTTAATGCAGCACAGTGCTAACAGAATATGGTTGAGAGCCGGGCTCGGTGGCTCAGTCTGCAATCCCGCACTTTGGGAGGCTGAGGTGAGTGGACTGCCTGAGCCCAAAGGTTCGAGACCTGTCTGGGCAACTTGGCGAGACCTCATATCTACAATAAATAAAAAAATTAGTTGGGTGTGGTAGCATGTGCCTGTAGTTCCAGCTACTTGAAAGGCTGAAGCGGAAGGATCGCCAGAGCCCAGCAGGTCGAGGCTGCGGTGGCCAAGAGCGTGCCACTGCACTCCAGTCTGGGCGACAGAGTGAGACTCCAATTCAAAAATAATAATAATAATAATCATATGATTAAGAGAGAGGGAAAACACAGTTCAATGGACTGTCTAATAAATTTAAAAACTAGAATAAGTTCTTAACCTACCTTTTCTACTGATAGCATAGCTAGTTGATGGTATTTTGCCTACATTATCACAAGTATAAAACTAAGTAGTGTCCTTGGGACTCTGATACAAATGAATTTAAGAAAGAATACTCTTCAATTCACTATTGCAAAGATGTGGAATCAACCTAAATACCCATCAACTGATCAGTGAATAATGAAAATGTGACATACACACACACACACACACACACACACACACACACACACAATTCAGCCATGAAAAGGAATAAAATAATGTCTTTTGCAGTAACTTGGCTAGAACTGGACACCATCATCCTAAGTGAAGTAATGGAAAATCAAGCACCACACCTTCTCATTTATAAGGGGGAGCCTAAATTAAGGAACTGCAAAGGTATAGAAAATGGCATAATGAACATTAAAGACTCAGAAGGAGGAGGGTAGAAGGAAGTGGAAGGATGAAAAACCACCTATTGGGTACAATGCACACACATTGGGGTGGTGGGTATACGTAAAACCCAGACTTCTTAGTCACCATACAATGCATCCATGTAACCAAAAATTATTTGCATGCCCTAAAGTTGATGAAATAAAAAATATTTTTAAAAGAAAAAAATGCTCTTACGAAAAGCAAGTAAAGAAGGGAAGCAGTAGAAAGTAGAGCAAATAGCTACGAAAGGTTGTGGTTTTAGAAGTCCAACTTTGACCTAATTCCACTGGGAGGTAGGGGATGTGAATTCATCAGAATGTGTGAGTAGCTGAGCCACCTAATATAGTGGTGGGGGGAGGCTTAACCTCCTAGACATCTCTGCACAAGGCATCCTCCTTAAGTCAACGTCAATACTCTACATGTCAGATATCAATATCCACAACTGAGAGACACATGGAAAAACCCAGCTATAGGGATCTAGAAAGGCCCAAATAACATTTGAAAGAGATTGAAGTCCTAAATCTTATGATGGCTCTTTGTGCTGACTCTAATATATAGTGTTTTCCATACTGGGAATTCAGGCTTTTTATAAATCTAAAGAAATAAAAACAGATTGCACTCCACTATAGTGGCGAAATGTGATAGGCAGAATTCTGAGAAGGTTTCTCAAAAAACTAAAAATAAAACTACCATAAGATCCAGTAATCACAATGGAAATGAAACCAGTATCTCAACAAGATATTTGCACTCTTATGTTGATTGCAGTACTATTTACAACAACCAATTATAAAAACAATGTACGTTTTCATTGATGGATGGATAAATCAACTTAGTACTATATATGTATGCACAATGGAATATTATTCAGTTACACATAAGAAGAAAATGCTGCCATTTGTGACAAAATGGTTGAACCTAGAGGACATTATTCTAATTATTATTCTATCTAATAGAATAATGTCCTGCAGACACAGAAAGAAAAATACCATATATTCTCACTCATGCAGAATCTAAAAACTCAGATTCATAGAAACAGAGTGTTGGGCATTATCTCAGTGGGCTTGCAGGTGAGAAAAATAAGGAGATATTGATCAAAGGGTACAGACTTTCATTTGTAAAATAAACTTGTTCTAGGGATCTAATGTACAGAATGGGTGATGCTGGATATTGAAATTAATTTTACTATGGTAATCATTATACTATATACATGTATCAAATCAACACATTGTACACTTTGAATATATACAATCTTTGTCAGAAATTATAGCATGTAAAAATGAATACATTATTTTTAATTATTCAAATTTCTAAGAACAAATAATCTAATTTTTTGTTTACATGATAAAATAATTTCATATATGTATATGAAAGTATAACAGTAAATATAGGGGAAAAGTACTTACTTGGACAGAAATTTATGGAAACTTTATACTTTTCTTGTGGTTCCAGAATCCCAGTCAGTGCACTAAAATTGAATGTGCCATCTTTGAAAAGTTTGCCAGTATTACTAAGATCCAAAATCCATCGCACGTCTTGTTTTGAAATGTTATGTAAGACAAGATCCTGCATGGACACATACATACAAAATTTAAAATTATAATATGCAATATAAAATTTAGTTGTATTACCATAACAATTTGATGGGCTACACAAAGTTAAATGTTTAAAAATGGTCATCATAGATAAAATGCCTTAAAAGTGATGTTAGGCAAACAAAAGAGTATAAAAATATGTTTGGAACCTATTAAAAAGTATGAAAAGTACACAAAGGATAGAGATTGAGGTAAAATAAAAATAGCAATATAACTATGCTAGCTAGCAACGAAGTAACAAGAACCCTCATTCATTAATGGTGACAATGCAAAATGGTACAGCCAGTTTGAAGACAGCCGAGCAGTTTCTTATAATGTTAAACATACCTCCATATGACCCAGAAACCCCACAACTAAGTTTTTAATTAAGTGAAGTGAAAATTTATTTTTACACAAAATCTCTTTTGTGAATGTTTATAATAGTTTTGTTCATCATTACCAAACACTGAAAGAAAAAAACAAAACAAGATTTCCTTAAACTAATGGATGGATAAACAAACTGTGGTACATTCACACAATGGAATAAAATTTAGTGATAAAATAGGTGAAATATTAATTTAAAAAACATAAATGACATTAAATATATTTTTATAAGTTAAAGATCTCAGACACATACTATATAATTAAATGTACCTGTATTTCTGGAAATACAAAATTATAGGGATAGAGAAATAAACAAAAAGTAGTGGTGTCCAAGTGTTAATGGAAGGAAAAGTAGTTTGACTACTACTCAAAGGGATCACTCAGGTTTTTTGCCTGATAAAACTGCTCTGAATGACACTGAGGTAGTAGATACATGATTCTATGCATTTTCCATAATCCAAACATCTATATACTACAGGGAGTAAAATTAATTGTGTGAAAGTCAAAAGCAATCAACAAAAATGAATTGCAGACTGACAAACTGTACCACCAATGTGTGAAATAACCTCACTGAAGGTAGTGGAGAATGGAGAGGAACTGATCAAGGATAATTGTGAAAAACAGTAAAATTCTAAATAGATTCTGTTGTTTAGTTAATTACATTGTATCAACGCTAATTTATCAGTTGTTAAAAATATTTTATGGTTGTGTAAGGTGTTAACATTAGGGAAAGTTTGGTGAAGGGTGCACAGAAACTCTTTGCCTTGTCTTTTTAAAAAATTTTTATGTTTTGAGTTGGAGTCTCACTCTGTCACCCAGACTGGAGTGTAGTGGCCGCTCCCGGTCACTGCAACCTCTACCTGCTGGGCTCCGGCGATCCTTACGCCTCAGCCTTCCAAGTAGCTGGAACTACAGGCGCGTGCTGCCACGGCCGGCTAACTGCATTGTCTTTTTAACATTCCAGTAAATCTGAGAGTTATGAGCATGACTTATATGCAGACCTATCTTTCCAATGTAACACTATTAAAATAAAACTATCAACCAGTTTTTAAATTAACTTTATTCTTTATTTTTTCATAGAATGAGCTATGCAATCACCACAACAAAACGTGAACTTCATTTCTTTCTAATGTATTATTGATTTAAAATATATAGCATGAAAAATGAACCAATTTTATTACCAATGCCTATAAGTGCTTAAACCTTTAATTAGCTCTAAGATTTATACCCTAACTATAGAAAGTTAATTTACACTTTCTAAAAATTTTTATTTAAATTATTTTAATAGAGAAGTTAGGCATGAAATCATATCAGTCATTTGAATGTCTAACTTTTGCCATTCGAAAATGAAGAAAAGTTATATATTTAAAGTCCAATCCACTTTCTATACCCTGCAATACTGAGAATAAAACTAATACAGGTATCTGTAAAGCAACATTGAAGCTGGGCTCGGTGGCTCAGCCTGTAATCCCGCGCTTTGGGAGGCTGAGGTGAGTGGATTGTGAACCCGTGGGTTCGAGACCTGCCTGGGCAACTTGGTAAGACCTCATCTCTATAATAAATCAAAAAATTAGCCGGGCATGGAAGCACGCGCCTGTAGTTCCAGCTACTTGGAAGGCTGAGGAGGAAGGATCGCTGGAGCCCAGCAGGAAAAAAAAAAAGAAAGATTGATTAGTTTATTTAGCATGTTTTGTACTGTCTGCCTTTTTTATATTTTTATAAAATAATTAAATGATATATATACACATAGTTGACACCAAAAGTTCAAAAATATTTATTGAAAAGCAGTTGTCCCTCTTAACTCCTCATTAATAGTTCTGCTTCCCAGAAGTGACTGATTTTAGCCTGTTCTGATTTGGGTTTTTATCTAAAATAGCCTACTCTAAATGCAAAGCTAATATGGCTTTTGTTAGCTTTTTTTATTACTTCCATAGCAAATGACCACAAACTTAGTGACTTAGCAAAATGCGAATTTATTATATTATAGTCCCGTAGGTTAGAAGTTCAGCATGAATATCATTTGACTAAGATCAAGATGTTGGCAGAAACTGTATTCTTTTCTGAAGGTTCTAGAAGTGTTCCTTCTATTGCCTTCTCCAGTTTCTAGAGGCCAGCCACATTCCTTAGCTGGTGGGCCTCCTTCCTCTATGTTCAGCACAGCATCTCTGATCCTTTTTCTGTTCTCACATGTCCCTCTGAGCATATTTAGGAAAGATTCTTGCTTTTAACCATTTATGTAATTAGATTAGACAACCCAGATAATTCAGAATAATCTTCCCTTCTCAGGGTCCTTAATTGTAATGACATCAGCAATGTATCTTCTGTGAAACAAGGTCATGCATTCACAAATGCTAGAGATCAGGACTTAAGCATTTTGGGGGTCATTATTCTGTCTGCTGCATGGTTATTTCATGGTTTAAGAGTCTCAGTTATTATTTAATGATCTACTATGTAAGATAAATTTCACTCCTCTTTGTTCCACATTCCCAACCATTCTGTCAACCTAACATCCCATAAACATAGTAAGTCTTATCTGTATTTTATATCTTATTTGCGACTGTGTAAGTATCACTCATGGGAAATCTAAGTTATGGATTAGAGTCACATTTATCACCATAGAATATATGTGACCCTTTTACCACTCAAGAAAGAAAGCTATTGGTGTCTAGATCTTGCTTTTTATGTCAACTGAATAAAATTTTAATGATGTCAAATAATCTTGCATGTATGAATGGATTGTTTTTATTTGGAATTCAGTTCAATTCAATTCACTAAAGTTTCCTCTCTAGTCCCACATACCAAGTCTTTTACAATTTTGAAGTTATATTAAAAGTGAGAGTTTTACCACTTCTATTCAACATTGTACTGGAAGTCTTAGCAAAGCAGTCAGGCAATAGGAAGAAATAAAAGGCATTCAAATTGGCAAGAAGGGAGTCAAACTATTTCTGTCTAATGATGACATGATTGTATGCCTACAAAACCCTAAAGACTCCTCCAAGAGACTCCAAGATTTGACAAACAACTTCAGTAAAGTTTCCAGACACAAAATCAATGTACAAAAATCAGTAGTAGCTCTATACACCAATAATGCTCACACCAAGAGCCAAGCCAAGAGCTGAAACTCATTTATAATAGCCTCAAAAAATAAAACAAAATATCTAGGAATACATTTAAGAAAAGAAATTGAAATATCTATACAAAGAAAACTACAAAATGCTTATGAAAGAAATTGTAAGCCGGGCTCGGTGACTCAGCCTGTAATCCTGCGCCTTTGGGAGGCTGAGGTGAGTGGACTGCCTGAACCCGCGAGTTCGAGACCCGCCTGGGCAGCAAGACCTCATCTCTACAATAAATAAAAAAATCAGCCGGGCGTGGTAGCTGTAATTCCGGCTACTTGGAAGGCTGAGGCGGAAGGATCGCCGGAGCCCAGCAGGTCGAGGCTGCGGTGGCCGGGAGCGGCCACTGCACTCCAGTCTGGGCGACAGAGTGAGACTCCAACTCAAAAAAAAAAAAAAAAAAAAGAAAAAGAAAGAAATTGTAGATGACACAAATGGAAGAACATCCCATGCTCACAGATCAGAAAAACCAATATAATTAAAATGATCATACTGTCCAAAGCAATCTACAGATTTAATGTAATCTCTATCAAAATATCAACATAATTTTTCATAGAACTAGAAAAAACAATCCTAATTGCATAAAGAGTCAGACTAGCCAAAGCAATTCTAAGTAAAAAGAACAGATGTGAAGGTATCACATTGCCAGACTTCAAATACTACAAGGTTATAGTAACCAAAGCAACAAAGTACTGATACAAAAACAGTCAGATAGATCAATGGAATAGAATAGAAAATCTAGAAATAAAGCCACATACCTACAATCAATTGATCTTTTACAAAGTTTGTAAAAATAAACAATGGGGAAAGGACACCCTATTCAATAAATGGTGCTGAGAAATTTGGTTAACCATATGCAGAAGAATGCAACTGAACTCCTACCTTTCACCACATGTGAAAATTAACTCAAGATGGATTAAAGATTTAAATCTAAGACCTGAAACTATAAAAATTGTAGATGAAAAAAACTCTTCTGGACATCGGCCTATGCAAGGAATTTAGAATGAAGACCTCAAAAAAAAAAATACAACAAAAATCTAAAATAGACAAATGGGACTTAAATGCTTCTGCACAACAAAGGAAACAATCAACAGAGTGAATAGAAAATGTACAGAATGGGAGAAAATATTTGCAAATTATGCCTCAGACAAAAGCCTAATACCTAGAATCAACAAGGAACTCAAAAAACTCAACATGAAAAAGCAAACAACCCCATCAAAAACATTGACAAAGGACTAGAAGAGACATTTATCAAAAGAAAACACACAAGCAATTATTTGTTTACTGGATAAAACTCCTTCACAGACTGCTGTGTGAGCTGGTATATTGTCATGATGCAAGAGTTCCTTCAGGACCATTTTTGCACATACCAAGAGTTTCAGTTAAGCTTTTCCTAACTCTTTATCTATCAATGTTTATTTGATCTGCTTTGCTTCTCAAAGTCAGCTGATGATTTTGATGCACAATTTGACAAATTTGTGCAATGTTCTCA